AGAGAGAGAGAGAGTAGATGGGAGAGAGAGGGTCGTGCGAACGGTTGGGGATTGGGCCCATATGGTTTGTTAGGGAAAATATTTATATAAAATGTTGGCTTCTTTTTTTTTCTTTGTCGTTGGATCATCCTATTTGATGGCTACGATGTATTTTATATTTTTTACTAATAATCATTCTCACCGGAACTCATCCATACATACATATATACATATATATGTGTGTGTGTGTGTGTGTATGGATTGGATCACATGAGAATAGTAGATAGTGAAAGAAATAAGAACAAATCAGTACCACTAGATCCATCAAGACAACAGTCATGATCAAGTCAAATTTTAATATGTGGCAGTCAAAAATGCAGTGCAATATTATAAATATGTGATCATACCATGGCCAAATGTATGTATTTGACCACTCTTTAAGGGCAATATTATCATTTGTCACTCACCCACACATCCACCCACGTGGCCCCATCTCACCGACCAAACTCTCTCTCTCTCTCTCTCTCTCTCTCTCTCTCTCTCTCTATCTCTCTCACATACACACAAACACACACACACACTTCTCACACACTGTACACACACGCACACAACTCACACACTGCACACACAATTGCACTGTCGACCCTGACTCCCTCAGCCGGTAGCCCCGACTCCCACAGACATCGACTTTGCTGCACACAGACACCAGCTCTACCGGCCTCGCCGTCTGCCGCCACAGATGAGTTGCGGTTTTATCAGAGACGAATTTGGGATGGAGAGTTTTGGGGATTTTGTGTCAGTTAGGGTTTGGACTGTGAGCAGAATGGCTAAGCGAAGGGAATGTGACGGCGGATACAGCGCTGGTGGTCGGGCATAGAAAGGAGATATGCGCCTGGAGCGATGTTGACGGTGGCGAATGAGCTGCGAGCGATTTCCGACTGGATTGGCTGATGAGTTGCGACGGTTGGGCTGATGGTAGAGGCGCAGACGGGTACCAACTTGTGCAATGGGGCCGACACTGGTGATGACATGGGTGGCGGCGGAGGAAGGCGGTGACTGGTCTGACGGGGTTGGTGGTTGTGGCGGCCGTGGAAGGGTTGCGGTGGTGACCGAAATAATTTTGTGATTTGGGTTTTTTTTTTTTCTAAATTTGATATTTTTAAGGGACTTAATTGCAATGTTTTAAATTTTAATATATTTCAATTTAGCACGTGAGGCAAATCAGAAACTTAATAAAAGTTCAATATATGCACATTAATGATAGATAAAATGCACATTATAATTCTCATCATATTTTTACGAAATCACATAATTTTCAGCCTACATAATTTTCGGTCTGGGATCTTGTAGAACCACCCGATGTGGTACGACCCATTGAATGTAAGTAGATCTACAAGAGAAGGAGAGGATCGGATGGGAAGGTGCAAACCTTCAAAGCTAGGCTTGTTGCGAAAGGTTATATCCAGATAGAGGGTATAGACTAGGATGAAACCTTTTCTCCAGTAGCTATGCTTAAGTCCATTCGGATTCTCTTGGTTGTAGCCGCTCATATGAATTATGAGGTCTGGCAGATGGATGTCAAGATGGCTTTCCTTAACGGGAACCTTCAGAAGGACATCTATATGCAGCAACCAGAGAGATTCATTACTAAGGAACGTGAGCATCTAGTGTGTAAGCTTAATCGATCTATTTATGGACTGAAGAAAGCTTCGAGATCTTGGAACATCCGATTTGACGAGGTGATCCAGTCGTACCGGTTCACTCAATGTCCGGATGAGCACTGTGTGTACAAGAAAATCAGTGGGAGCGTGGTGGTGTTTCTTGTGCTTTACGTAGATGACATACTGCTTATTAGAAACAATAAGAATGAGTTATCATACGTAAAGGTGTGGTTGTCTAAGAAGTTTGATATGAAGGACTTAGGTGAAGCAAGACACATTCTTGGTATTAGGGTCATTCGAGACCTTAAGAAGAGAATGTTGTGCTTATCCCAGTCTTCATACATAGATACTGTCTTGACCAGATTCGACATGCAGGATTCCAAGAGAGGTATGTTACCTTTCAGAAATGGAATCAGTCTATCCAAGGAGATGTCTCCTAAAACGTCTCAAGAGCTAGAAGACATGAAGACAGTTCCTTATGCTTCCACAATAGGCAATGATTTAAATATTGTACCATACCGACCGGTAATACCGGAGACCGGCCATTGGTACAGTACTATTACACTCAAAATACCGGATTTACGGTTATACCAGTTTGTACCGAAATCATACCGTAAATACCAGAAAATACCGGTCCAAAATACGATGAATAATAAAAAGGTAAAAAAAATTAAAAAAAATAAAATTTATTAATTTAAAAACATAAAATTTAAATTGCTAGTTAAAATATTTTATTTTCATCTAGTTGAGAACATGAAATTAATGACTATGGTCATTTATATTTTTGCATTTGGTATTATATGTTTATGTATATTTATATACATCATTATATTTGTTAGTCCAGAAATACCACCGATATTACCGGTCCGACAGGTAATACCGCGTACCGGCGGCTAGACTGGTATGATCACCGATACGGTATTTAAAACACTGGAAGTAGGAAGTCTTATGTATGCGATGCTGTGTAATAGGCCGGATATTAGCTACGCCGTTGGCATGGTAGCTAGATATCAAAGTAATCCGGGACAGGAACATTGGGCTACGGTGAAACATATACTCAAGTACCTGAGAAGGACTAAGGAGTACCTGTTAGTTTACCGTGCAGACAACTTGTTACCTTTGGGTTACAGTGATTCCGATTTCCAGTCAGATAGGGACGAGAGTAAATCAACCTCAGGATATGTGTTTACCTCGGGGAGTGGAGCCATTTCATGGAGGAGTGCTAAGCAGAAATGCGTGGCAGACTCCACCATGGAAGCCGAGTACATAACAGCCTCAGAGAGAGCGAAAGATGCAGTTTGGCCCAGAAACTTCCTAGTGGACTTAGAGGTGATTCCGAGTTTTCCACGTTGTATCATCGTGTACTGTGATAATAGTGGAGAAGTAGCGAACTCAAGGGAACCACGAGCCCACAGAGTAAGCAAACATATAGAGGGCAAGTACCATCTGATTCGAGATATCGTTGGGAGAGGAGATATTTATGTTGCCAAGATTGCATCAGAAGACAACCTAGCTGATCCTTTCAAGAAGTATTTGTCGGGGAAGGTCTTCGTCAAACAAGTGGAAGGAATGAGAGTCAGGTGCATGGCGATAGGATCGACATAAGTCTTTTAGAATAACGAATTGATAGGACTATATTATAAAAGCGAAAGCTTTAAGTATAAGTGGGAGATTGTTAGTGTTATATACTGAATGTTTAGCTTTGGATGTTATTACACTTTTATCCTTTATGAATGAGAATCATGTTAGATTTAACAAGTTCTATGTTCTGTTGTTTCGCACTTAGATAGAATGGGTCGTCATCGGGCGAACAGAAGATCATTCTGTCCGTTACTTGCGAAACAAGAATTGTGATTCACAACCTAGATGGAAATGAACACCCCATCCGAACGGTTGTAGCGTCAACGGTACAGTTGGTCTTGACTGATTAGTTGCACTATACATTTATGTATTAAACAGGATCCTAGAGAGGAAAAGTTTATTTTATACTGATCGTCGTAAACGAACTAGGCCTCGGTTAATTACTACGTTCTCTTAACCCGTAGGATATTAAACATGCATATATATGCATTACATATTACTTTGATTCACTTGGGTGAGGTTCAGTTCGCTGGATTAATATTCTTATTGTCTTGGGTAATATTGCTGTATGTAGGATGTGTTGTTAGGATATTTACGGTCACCATGTGTGTTAGTTTGATGATGTCCCCGGAGTAAGTTCATGAAGGATTGTTATGCTAAACCCTGCAGGTAGATTAAGTTCTGGCATTATAATAATGTGATGAACGAATGCTATTTTCGATGAAATAATAATAAATTAATTAATTCTTCATTGTCAGTAATTGAATTAATTAATAGATATTATTTCTTAAACGTGGGGAGATAAATCGAGTAATTATAATCGGATTATCAAATGTAATTTGGGCTAGGAAAAGTGAGTGCAATAATATTATGTTGGTGGCCCATAATATTATTTAATTAATTAAAAGAGTGGGTTTGACCAACAGTTAGTCTAATTAATTAAGGAGCCCTACTTCTAATCTCCTAAGGATCCCTACTGTAGCTCTATATATACATCATTAAGCTCATGAGAAGAGAACAAAACATCACAAATCTCGCGAGTTGTGCGTCCGCCCCTCTGACTCTCTGTTCTCATTCGAGCATTGTCTTCTTCTTGTTGCTCCACTGGTACAAGTTGAAGAAGGTATTTGAGTAATACAGTAGAAGATCCATAAGGCGACTAGCGCTCACGTTCACCCGCGATACTCATTGCGATCCAACCACAAGAACCAACAAATAGGTAATCGAGACCCAGTGATATTCCACAAAAGTTGACGAACCACAACCCGAAGGCCGAGATCTGTCAACCCGACCGCTGCCGTTATCGGAGATCCGGCGCGATGCAACCAGCCCGACACGACCGACTACCCGTCCCGTGCGACACGATCAATGACGTCCACGCGATACGACCAGCTCAATCCGACACGAGCCGATCCCCACCACCAGTTCGTGTGATCTAGTTCCGTTCGTGTGCTGTTCCCAGTCATCCCGAATCCGACAGATTCAGAAAATTTTAAGCTGTAAGTTTTCTACGTCAAACCTCTAGATCCGCTGCACATAGGTTTACGTTTGTTGTTGAATTCGTGATTTGCACATAACGAGATCCTCACAGATCCCATCACACACATCTACTAATTTACTGCCACGTGGAAAATAACATCCCACCATCCCAACAACTCTTTCTCTCTCACACACTCACACACACTATACACACACAATACGCACACGCCTGCACGAAAGAAAACACAGATCTACACGCACAGCCGGTCAACCCCTCGCCTTCGACCACACATCGGCGCAATGCCAAACGCTGCCCCAATTATCGGACGCCACAGACGTCGGCGCTCCGCACTACGACAAATTACCATCAGCGCCGCCCACGGCGGCCAAATCGGTTGTCAAACTTTCCGTCGACGTCGACCGTTCATTCTCCGCCAACAACAGACTCTCGCCGGCGCCGCCCACGACGGTCAAATCCTTGTCATCCACCGTTCTCACCCCCGGTTTCACTGAACACGCTCGCCGACTGGTCCAAATCGGCAATGAGACACGATTCCACACGTGCTCCGGTGATGTCTAAGACCATTGGAACTGCGAAAGAGAGACCATTTTGAGGCGGGAGACGACTCTGAAAGCTTGAGGCGGGAGAGTGACAGACGGAAACAAATTTGTGTGAGGGGCTTTGAAATGAAAATTTTATACTTTCCAAGGACTTTTTTGCAATTTTAAATATGTTAATATATTCACATTGATGAGTATCAATGTGCAATATGACAATATATTAAATAACAAATATTACAAAATAAATATCTTTTATATATTTAAGATGGAATCTTACAAGATGGAACCCAACCTATACTAAACAACAAATATTTATTATGTATTATAAGCCTAGAATAGTATAAAATTATTATATAAAATATTAAAATCTTACATATATTTTAAAAATATAAATATGTATTGAATTTAAATTATTCTCATAAATGCATGTTAATGATAAATAAAGTGAAATAATGTTTAAAAATTTTATTATGTAAAATTATAATATATAAAAATATTAAAATAATAAATATAATTTTTATAATAATAAATAATAATTTATTTAGATTATTTAGGTTATTTCGATGTACAATCATATCTACTAATTATAGATTTCAAAAACACATAATTTGTTCGTGATCATATAAATTAGTGCACTTTATATATCATCGACTTGCACTTTATAAAACACCACGTTGCACTTTATAAAACAATGCGTTGGACTTTATCATCACACTCTACAGTTAAAGAAAAACATGTCTCGCCAAAATACCATACAATATAAATATAAAAAACGGATATACATAATACTTTAACATCAATCAAATCATTTATCCACACAAAACACGAACATGTCAACGTACCAAAATTACAGTATTTCACTTTACACACCAGCATGTTGCACTTTATAAAACAACGCGTTGTACTTTACAAAACAACACGTTGCACTTTAACACACTATCAGTTTGCAAAACAAGAATCGAAATCAGCCAAACTCAAAATTTTTGTCAACCTAAAATAATATAAAATAATAAATAAAATTATTAACATATTAAATATAATTTTGATATAAATAAAAAAATTATTTCGATTTTATTGGGATAATTCGGTTAACCGAATCAAATGACCCAATTAATTATGTTAATTTTCAATTTGATGTTGGGACAAATGTCCGGATGGTTCAATCTGCACAATTCAGACTGATACCGTGCACCATATTTTTGGACGAATTGCACCGTAGTAACTGTTATATTGCACACTATCTTTCGTCTACATATATACTAAGTTTTTTAATCAAACAATAATATAAAATATCAATTAAAAAATATAAAATACTAATACTAAAATTTATGAAATTTTTGATTGAATAAAACCATACAAATATTGTTAAAATTATTTATCAACATTCTATATTTAATAGATTTTTTTAGTAAATTATATAATTAATCAACAATTATATTGATTAATGATTAAAGGTTTTTTTAAAATTGCAAATTGGTCCCTATAGTTTATCTAATTTAACAACAACAACAAAAAAACACAAAACCCATTTCAAACATACGGGATGAACGCCTCAGTCATGGACATTTTTTTTTCGGCTGTCCATCTCTTTCAGCGCACTGCCGACATTGATTCACGCACAACACACAGCCGTCGCCGTCGCGTCGCGTCGCCGGACCGCCGTCGCAGTTTCGTCGCGTCGTGTCGCCGCAGTGACACAACTCCTCGTCTTCTTTCGCCGCCGCACTGCACAGCCACCGTCCACCTACTCGCCGCCTCGTCTGTCAGCCGTCTCGATGCCTCATCTCCGTCAGCAAGCACGTATCTTCGTCTCTGTCTGTCACCTAATCGGACGACGGAAAAAAGGGCGTGCGACAACGGAGGGTGAAATTTGTGGCAGAGGCGGGTCTGTGGGCGGACGGACAACTGGAGGAGATGGCAAATGGGGTGAAGCTATTGGTTGTTATGGGATGTGGTCCTGGTGAGTTTAGTGACGGCGGAGGAGGCAATTTTTGACGGAGACGGGCCTGTGGGTGGAGGAGCTGCTGGGGCAGGTTACAGATGGGGCGGAGATGTTGGTTGTGATGGTTTGTGGTTCCGACAGCAGTGGTCTTGTAAGATTTTGGGTTGAGCCGGGAGGTGTGTTGATGACTGGCGGCAGGTGGTGGTTCGGCTGCGATGGTAGATGTGGTGTGGTGTGTGTGTGTGTGTGTGTATGTTTGCAGATCTGAATCGATTTGCGGAGGAGGGTGATGTAAAGAAATATTAGATATTTAATTGGTGAGTAGATCCCACATAATAAATGAGTATTGACCAACTTACCTTAATTATTTATCTAATGCACATATTTGACCACACTATGATGAAATAATTACCAGATTGCCATTAATGATTGACCATAGTTTGACTTCATCATAACCATTAATATGTTAGATCTAATGGTCCACAATCATTTTCATTTCTTTCACTATCTGTCATTTTCATATCCTATATATATATATAAAAGTTAAAAATATACTTTAAAGGGCAAATGAGAAAATTTATTTTAGGTTATTTTGATTAGGAACATTTCTTAGAGTTTTTAGTAAATGTTAAAAGAACTATATTATCATTCGCTTCTAATAATTCATTACTTTGTCCCTTTTAAACTTTCACAACTTTTTAATTTTTGTTTCAATTAACCTTTTAACTAATTCAATCGGCAACTTAAGAACAAATGAACTGAAAAATTTTACTAATTAATTCATGATAAATGAGATTCAAAACATTTATCATATATTTTAAAATCTTATTAGGACTATAAATAAGTGGAGGAAAATGCCGATTTTTATCTAATTTAATTTCAAATTTATTTTATTATGCTTAAAATTGATATTTTTTTTATAC